AAATCCTGACACTTTGATTTAAAACTAAACATTGTGCATGAAATTTCATGTTCAAGTGATATCGCGTATTGTTATCGCCAGATACAAAAAGTGAAAGTAAACAAACAAGCAATCCGCAATGCGAGCTCACACGGACACGATGTGCACTCACTACCACCAACAAAACACCTCGCAGATCTCGCAGGACTAACAAACATTTAATATGAAAAACTGCATCCTAGCGCCATCTATCGCCATTAAATGTAACTAGTATCATGTCCTTGTGCACTCACAACTCTCACAAGCAAACAATAAATATAAGAAACTGCATCCTAGCGCCATCTATCGTCATAAAATACAACTCCATACAAATTAAATGTAAGTAAGACTTCACTCACCCGGCCGATTTTATCCAACAGAATCACATCGTCGTTATTCAGCTCCCATCGCTCCCGCGGAATCGGTTTATACAATATGGCGCCCGAACGTGCGGTAACCGGAAGCCCGCTGTCGCATTGATAGAGTATCAATTCGCGTATGCTTGGAAAGGCAGGTCCTTCAAAACGATAATGCCCCTACAAATACAAAATCATTGATTAATTAACCACACCTACCACAAAACTATACACAATTACTTCTGTTGTTGTTTGAACAATGAAATGTTTATGCCCGCCCCAACACACGGACAACACCGTTTGGCACTCGTCATTCCTCGTCGTCTCCCGCACGAGAAAATCACCTTCCTGTGTCAATAATCGGACAACTTCTTCGCGTGGCAACACACCGTGAAACCAATCTTCATCAACCAGCGGTTTATTTATACTTAAAGACACCTAAAAACAAATTTAACATAAAAATTTACAAAAATACAAAACAATTCAACAAAAAAACATGTTAAATATAAATCTTGTATGAAATATTGTGCAATACACTGTGCAAACGTGCTAAAAGCAAACAAACATTAAATTGTCTGTTAGTAAAGCAGAAGAAAAACACACAGATAATATTATATGACGTACAGGATCAGCGCCCTCGCTCTGCGTGGCGGAACCCCTGCGAACTCGCGTCCTAGGTGGCGCTATCGGCGATGATGGCGCCGACTTTCGACGAAACGGCTTGCGAAACAGCCGCGCGACAAACTTGTGCTTATGCTTCTTACTTGCCAACGGCGACAGCGACATCTGATTAATACCATTACCCACAACCGCGAGTTTAAGAAAATA